ATGAAAACGACTGCTTTTCTTGGAACAGAACCAGCAGGAGCTGTCTAGGGTGTCTCTTTTGAATTCTTTTATGGGAATCAGCACGGAGTTTCAAGATACTTAAGATAGTAAGGCATAGATGCAATAAATAGCGTTCTTCACACTTTTGTCTAAGTTTAACTACTGTGAATTTCAGCACACATATCACACTTTAATTTACTAAGCTAAGATTACTTAACTAGTCTGAGTCTTTGTATAGTGTCAGTAATGTTTTCTGATAAAAAAATAGTGTAAGGTATTCATTCTGAATTCTAAAAGTTTGGAGAACCTCGCCTAGATTACTAGCTCACTAGTTTTCTAGCCGGTCTCAAGCCCGGATAAAGAGGGAGGATTGAGGCGTGGTGCTACCAACTCCACCCCCCAAAACTTAACCAAATCGCTACAGAAACTTCAACGCACAAATATATTAAAAATTCTAAAAATATAAACAATAACCTTATTTTTCGCTGGAATCGGGGAAGTGAAATGACGCAGGCTGGTGAAAGCCTTCGAGAAGCCAGTCAGCCGATGTGCCTTCTTTCGATGAAAGCAAAAATAAGGATGGGAACGTGGAATATTCGTACAATGTACGAAACTGGAAAGGCTGCTCAGGTAGCCGCAGAAATGAGGAGATATAAAATAGAAGTGTTGTGAATCTGCGAAAGCAGATGGAACGGATGTGGAAGGAGCCAACTGCCAACTGGAGAGACAATAATCTACTCCGGTCACCCACAGGACAATCACGAGCACACCTAGGGAGTAGCCATCATGATGTCAACAACAGCAGCTAAATCTCTCATGCAGTGGGAACCAATCTCCTCCAGGATAATGACAGCCAGGTTCAACTAAAAAGGAAGGAAGGTTACAATCATTCAATGCTATGTGCCTACAAACGTCTCAGAACAAGAGAAGAAGGAGGCCTTCTACAGACAACTACAAGCAGTAATGGACAACGTCCCAAATGGCGATATCAAAATCCTGATGGGTGATATGAATGCGAGGCTGGGAGGAGACAATACAGGAAGAGAACTCACCATGGGTCGCGAGGCCCTCGTTGAAATGAACGACAATGGTGAACTCTTCTCAGACTTCTGCGCCTTCAATGATTTGGTGATTGGTGGCAGTGTGTTCAAACACAAGGATATACACAAGGCGACATGGATTTCACCAGATGGACACACCAAAAACCAGATAGACTTCATTTCAATCTCAAGGAAGTGGAGACGCAGCCTATTGGACACAAAGTCGAGGAGAGGAGCAGATGTGGGTTCAGACCACCATCTAGTACAAGGGACTTTCAAGGTGAAGCTAAAAGCCTCGAGGATAGCTGGGGATAGACCACAATGCAAGTTCACTTATCTAGGGAGCATTTTCTCAACTACAGGAGGAACGGACGAGGATGTCAAATCGAGAATCGCGAAGGCGAGAAACACATTCATCAACCTGAAACCAATCTGGAAATCTTCGTCACTCAGCATCAACAACAAAATTCGGATTTTCAATAGAAACCTCAAGTCAATTCTTCTATACGGATCAGAAACTTGGCGGGTCACCAAGAATATTTCCAACAGGTTGCAGACATTTATCAACAACTGTCTTCGCTCTATACTCAAGATCAGATGGCCGGAAAGAATCACCAACAAGAAACTATGGGAACAAACAAAACAAGAACCAATCGCCCAACAAATATGCAGGAGGAAGTGGAGATGGATTGGACGCTCGCTGAGGAGACCGCTGGATGACATCGCGCGTCAGGCCCTCGAGTGCAACCCGAAAGGGAAGCGGCGAGTGGGACGTCAGTGCAAGGGTGACATGGAGGAGATCGTGTGAAGAGGAGCTGAAGCAGTATGGACTAACATGGATGCAGGTGAAAAGTAGAGCAGAAGACAGTAACAAGTGGAGACGTGCAGTTGAATCCCTATGTTCCACTAGGAACTCAAGGGAACAATAATCATAAATGTTTGTAGGAAGATTCTTGGTTTCTATTACGCTCAAATGATATACTCTTTTTCATTTACATACACTTACTTCTTTTGCTTTTGATTCAAGAACAAGTCTTTCAGTTAACCAAGCTTCTTGTTCACCTTCATCTCAGACGTACTGAAGCTATTCATATGCTAAATTGGTTGGCAGGGATAACGGATTTATTTAATTCGGGGAGCGATAGCTTCGTTTATAGAAGCCTGAAAACTGGAGCTTTCCTATGCGTGCTACTCTTGCCTATATAAAAGCGTTGGGCTAGTCTTGTATGCGAAATGAGTTCTATTAGGCTTGCCTCTGCAGTGCATAACTGATTGGCGCGACCACTAACCGGAGTAACTATGCTTGCGTATACATTTATATTTGTACTAATGCTGCATATGGCCCACTTAAATAGAGGCTTCCTGAGTAGTTGTGCGTACTGTTTCGGTCTTGCATGAAACTGGAATGAGTGTTTTCGTTTCTTTAGAAAATCATTGTATAAATACCCAGTCAATAAATGTAATAATGTGTAAGTTGACTGGTTGATCCTGCCAGTAGGACTGAAAGCAAGAGGCATGTTGCTAGGCTATCCAACTACATTAGAATAAATGTATCCAAATATTAGTTCGCTCATAGTCCTATGTTTTTTGAATAACTTAACAGGTCGCTATTTCCTTTCATTTTACCAGTAGTCAGACGCTTGTCTTAGAGATTAGGCTATGTATGTTTAAGTAGATACCTCAACTCCACGAAACCCTGGATGGCTCATTAAATTAGTTATAGTTCCCTAGATCAAAAACACCACATGGACAACTTTAGTAATTCCAAAACTAATTCATACAACTATGACCTAACCCTCATGAAAACGACTGCTTTTCTTGGAACAGAACCAGCAGGAGCTGTCTAGGGTGTCTCTTTTGAATTCTTTTATGGGAATCAGCACGGAGTTTCAAGATACTTAAGATAGTAAGGCATAGATGCAATAAATAGCGTTCTTCACACTTTTGTCTAAGTTTAACTACTGTGAATTTCAGCACACATATCACACTTTAATTTACTAAGCTAAGATTACTTAACTAGTCTGAGTCTTTGTATAGTGTCAGTAATGTTTTCTGATAAAAAAATAGTGTAAGGTATTCATTCTGAATTCTAAAAGTTTGGAGAACCTCGCCTAGATTACTAGCTCACTAGTTTTCTAGCCGGTCTCAAGCCCGGATAAAGAGGGAGGATTGAGGCGTGGTGCTACCAACTCCACCCCCCAAAACTTAACCAAATCGCTACAGAAACTTCAACGCACAAATATATTAAAAATTCTAAAAATATAAACAATAACCTTATTTTTCGCTGGAATCGGGGAAGTGAAATGACGCAGGCTGGTGAAAGCCTTCGAGAAGCCAGTCAGCCGATGTGCCTTCTTTCGATGAAAGCAAAAATAAGGATGGGAACGTGGAATATTCGTACAATGTACGAAACTGGAAAGGCTGCTCAGGTAGCCGCAGAAATGAGGAGATATAAAATAGAAGTGTTGTGAATCTGCGAAAGCAGATGGAACGGATGTGGAAGGAGCCAACTGCCAACTGGAGAGACAATAATCTACTCCGGTCACCCACAGGACAATCACGAGCACACCTAGGGAGTAGCCATCATGATGTCAACAACAGCAGCTAAATCTCTCATGCAGTGGGAACCAATCTCCTCCAGGATAATGACAGCCAGGTTCAACTAAAAAGGAAGGAAGGTTACAATCATTCAATGCTATGTGCCTACAAACGTCTCAGAACAAGAGAAGAAGGAGGCCTTCTACAGACAACTACAAGCAGTAATGGACAACGTCCCAAATGGCGATATCAAAATCCTGATGGGTGATATGAATGCGAGGCTGGGAGGAGACAATACAGGAAGAGAACTCACCATGGGTCGCGAGGCCCTCGTTGAAATGAACGACAATGGTGAACTCTTCTCAGACTTCTGCGCCTTCAATGATTTGGTGATTGGTGGCAGTGTGTTCAAACACAAGGATATACACAAGGCGACATGGATTTCACCAGATGGACACACCAAAAACCAGATAGACTTCATTTCAATCTCAAGGAAGTGGAGACGCAGCCTATTGGACACAAAGTCGAGGAGAGGAGCAGATGTGGGTTCAGACCACCATCTAGTACAAGGGACTTTCAAGGTGAAGCTAAAAGCCTCGAGGATAGCTGGGGATAGACCACAATGCAAGTTCACTTATCTAGGGAGCATTTTCTCAACTACAGGAGGAACGGACGAGGATGTCAAATCGAGAATCGCGAAGGCGAGAAACACATTCATCAACCTGAAACCAATCTGGAAATCTTCGTCACTCAGCATCAACAACAAAATTCGGATTTTCAATAGAAACCTCAAGTCAATTCTTCTATACGGATCAGAAACTTGGCGGGTCACCAAGAATATTTCCAACAGGTTGCAGACATTTATCAACAACTGTCTTCGCTCTATACTCAAGATCAGATGGCCGGAAAGAATCACCAACAAGAAACTATGGGAACAAACAAAACAAGAACCAATCGCCCAACAAATATGCAGGAGGAAGTGGAGATGGATTGGACGCTCGCTGAGGAGACCGCTGGATGACATCGCGCGTCAGGCCCTCGAGTGCAACCCGAAAGGGAAGCGGCGAGTGGGACGTCAGTGCAAGGGTGACATGGAGGAGATCGTGTGAAGAGGAGCTGAAGCAGTATGGACTAACATGGATGCAGGTGAAAAGTAGAGCAGAAGACAGTAACAAGTGGAGACGTGCAGTTGAATCCCTATGTACACTAGGAACAATAATTAAATAAAATATAATATGATATTTGTTCTCTCAAATTCCGTTTCATCTCCCTAAAGAAACAAGCAGACAGACAGAGGGAGTATGTTAATTAGTGGAGGTCTATACATTTGAGTAATACGATTATGATAAGTTTGTCCTATGTTTGACGACGTTTATCTTCTTTTCATTCCACTGATGTTAATTACTTCCTTTTGATTTTTAGGCTACTGGTGAAGATACAAAACCGGAAGATGTTTTAAATGAAATTTTAAAGTCAATGGAAAAATGGTCAACTGAACATGAACGACTGCCAAACTTAAAACGTCGGTAAGTCAGTTTCTCCACGTTCTCAGAGTGTGTATGCAACCCAATATTTATAATGAGAGTTTGTCAGCGTAAATCAGTAAGTACAAAAATGCCTTTCATCACTATTTGGGATTGAATAAAGAATTGCTAATAGCCTGGGGCAGCTACCATTCTACCTGTTTGTCTGGAGTTCATTTGAATCAACAAAAGTTGATTCATACTTCTGCAGCATCCCGAATTACGACGAAGGAGATGTTCATTGACTGCTGACTCTCAGTATTTCAGTGATAAAAACTAATTTTAGTTAATTCACTTACGTTTAGATTCCTCACAGTCAACGTTTTTATATTCAAAACTCATGTGGGAAAGAGTACTTAAAAAATTATCAAGTCCATTTGGTTTGTTTCAGATTTGATTCTATTATACAACACCCATTTAGACCTTCCGGTAAACACAGACATAACTATAGTAGGATTGTGGTTGAAAAAGTAGTAGTGTGATGTACGCTACTCGCAAAAACTTATGAGCAGTATACCAGTGACCTCCTCCGCAAGAATTCTGAATAGTGGAGTGATGGATTTAAATGCAAAGAAGAGGAATAAAGCTAATTGCGAAAAAAATATAGAAGCCATTACATGAAGACTAAAGAAGCAGAATACCGATAACTTTTGTGAAGTGAAGTCTCAGTGTAGAGTTTTCATATTTCGTTATCACTATGTGACTTTATTAATTAAATGATTCGACTATCAAGTACCCGTATGATCTGCAGTTAGAGAATTACTAGGAGTAGTGATAGTATATGGAACTGATAGGTGTGGCTACCGGATTTGATGTAGTGGTATGAACACGCTAAACAATCAGTTTTGAATATTGCAGCTGATGCAAAATTGCTCATGAATTATAAGGTCGTTTGAGCAAAACAGTTCTATTGGGAAATTTATGCACACAAACGTCAACAACTTGCAACCACTGTTTAAAAGACGACCACGTCTCCGTTTTCTACACAACGATAAGATGACATTTTCGCAGTAATCTAAAGATCCAATTCCTGACTAGTCACCTAGTTAGTGTGGTTGCACCTCAGCTACGCAGAACATAGCAGGCTGTGAACCACGCCTATCGTGTAGATGCTTACAGTACTAACTTATCTATTTTGTTCCTTAGCGTTCCTAACAGAACATAAGGAATCAAGCTTTAAACTCCGAAGTTTCAGTGGTACTGGTGTTTGTTTTTACGGGTGTGATTTTCAGCCCTACTACTAAGCTTTCCTCTTTTCCGGGCTATGGGAGGTTTAGGATTGCATCGGCCAGGAACTGAGTCTGGAAAACGTGAAGTATCGTTGGCGAGGATTCTACCCCTGAACCACTGACACACAAAAGCTAGTTGCCCGAATTTAATTAGGTGGAGCGCAGCTGGAACCCGGAACGCGTTGGTTAGAAGTCGAGTGCTGAAGACAGTTAGCTGCATCTCCACCGTATAGCTTATCCAAATCTGCACATCTTATTCATTGATTTACCGACTCTCAGTCTCTCATATCATTATGTTTATTGAAACAATCATACACTTTCTTCATTTTGTACAGCATGTTGGATTCTGTATCATCAGTTGAAAGTACTTCAGGTATTGGTTTAAGTACAGGAGCAACGAACAGTCCAATGATACCTCAATCAAAAGGCGGTCTAATGATCAGTTCAACAACATCACCATTTTCACCAGGTTTACTACCACGTGGGTCAAGTTTAACAGCTCAAAGGTCGACATCAATGGAATGGACTGGTGGACGATTTCACGGACACCCATTATCCTCTGGTGGTCATCCATTCGGTTCAAACTTTAGAGAAAGTAGTTGTGGATTTGGAACAACTAGTGGGACATCACTTATTAGCGGTTTTCGTGGTAGTGCGTTAAGCCTTGCTACAGGAACAGGAATTGGCGGTGGTAGTAGTTACAGCCTGATGGTTAACAGCCGTTGTGGTAGATCTGTATCGCCTGAAGTCACTGTGAAAAAGGTAAGTCAGTGAAAAATATGTTTCATTGAATAAAGTGTTTAAAGGAATTGATGATAACAGTTATATTTTATAAATCATGAGCTTAAAACACAAAAGACGATTCAGATAAAGGATTTATGAGGATTTTGGATCAGTTTCAATTATTGGAGACGCATGGCTGAAGCCCTATGTTCCTCTAGGAACTAAAGGAAATAATGATAATAATAATTCAATTATTGCGTGCGGTCTAGTCTCGATTCCCAGCCGACGCACTCCTAAGCCTCACCTAGTTTACTAACCAGTAGTAAACCTGGAAACGAGCAAAATTTGAGAGACGTGGGGCTAGCAACCCTACACCGTAAAAGCATCACCACCATTACCATCAGAACTCCAAAACTTGAAGCCCTATGTTCCACTGAGAATCCATGTGGTTGAAGAAAATTTGCTACATCACACCATGAGAATGGATTAAATGAAGAACTTTCATCCAGTACGGTTCTTATCCAGTATTGTTGATTTTTGTGGGAAAGTTACATAAATAATATTAGCAAACAGTTCCCAGATTCCATAAGGGATTTGACCAGTAATATCATACATAGCAATTAGCAATTTTATATCTGCGTTAGAGTTGTTCCGTAGTCAAGATTTCAAGGTTTCCACGACTAAAGAGAGAAAATTCTGAAAATAATTGAAATATTCCAATTTCTAAATAAGAAAAACAATAATCAGAGAGAATAATAACTTCACTTTCAACCTTTGCAGTATGAAATTCATAGATATTCCTACATAATAAATAGTAAAGAATGAAATAAAATTGTATTCGACACTGTATTTCAGTAGATAAAATTAAATGCTGGTGAATTACAAGACAAAATAGTAGGCCGCTTAATTTTCATTCTCCTTGAAAGGCATACAGAGTGTACAGTCAATGAGAATACGAGATAAAATAACTGAATGATGTGCTTGTAAATTTGCAGTCAACAAAAATGTGAGTGTCATGGAGTGAGTTATAATAAGTGGAATGATTGAGAGAAAACATGGACACAAAGTGCAAACATATTGTGCCTAGTGCAATTTCAAAGAATAGTAAAGCAAGATGCTCATTATATTTACATAAACTGTCCATGCCTGCCCGTGAACATGCACTGATGGGATAACATCAACAAATAAATAGCGCATTTCTGTCCCGCTTGGTAGGTGGTGGACATCGAATTAAGACAAATCAAGTGTTTGTGGTATTGACTGCTACTGCTTCAGCTAAGTTTTTAACGCTCTTTTTGATAGTTCACCATAAACACGACCTGTAACCAGTAAGCCTAGTCTTATTTGATGTCCACCATCTATCAACCAGAACAAAACAAGCATTCAGTTCAAACTTAGTTGGACTTTCTAGTCATTAGCTCCTGGTAAACTGAACCAGAAACCTTAAATTGCACTTTCACAAAGTGGAGTACTGTATAACATAAATAGTTATTTTATTTAATAATAGTCGACAATTTTAATCACCGGTGATATTCCTGACTGTAGCGAACTGGATCATACAGAATACTGTCTGGAGCAAGAAGGCGGGAATTTGCAGGACCAAGAAAAAGACTCTGGAAGATCAGCACTTCGTGGACGATTTATTTCCAATTTCACATAGAAATGAAGATCTGCAGGCGAAAACAGACAAGCTGAAGGAAGAAGCAAGCAGCAAAGGCAGGACTTCAGGTGAACATAGAGAAGACAGTATGAAGATACCTAACCAACAACAACACAAATACTGATCAATATCAGTGGGATAAATTTGAAGGAGGTCACCTCTTTCACTTATCTAAGTAGTGTCTTTTCAGCTGCAGGCAGCCGACACAAATGAGATTGTCAAGGTGAGCTAGGATAGGAAAGGCAAAACAGACGATGACTATTCTGAAATTCATCTGGCAATCTACTGCATTCAGCATACAGAACAAGGTTCTGATTTTCAACACCATTGTCAAGTCACTGCTTTTATACTCTTCAGAGTTTTGGCACATGACAAAAAGCGTTTCCAACATGACTTAGACTTAACATACATACGCACATACAATCAAACAAAACTAATCTATACAAATTAACTATATAAGAGTGAACACAACAACAACTTGACATTAGTCATTACAAATATATATGATGTCTGCTTACATATTTTCTATTGGTAAAAATGTCCATGAACAAATGACCTTCAAATAAACTGACTGTAATGTATGTTAAAATTTTTGACTCTATATTTTGATGATTAATAAAATTCCGGATAAATCTGCTGAAGAAGCTGTGGCTTACACAGCGAAACGTTCAGAAAAATCTTGTTTTGATTTTCTTAACACGCTGGGATTAATTTAAATAATTTATAATGAATCAATCTGACTCGGCGCTCAAATTATTCCAGGAAGTTCGTAACACCTACGGCCTGGAAACCTATAGACTTAGACTTTCATTGAGAGCTAAAGTCGTTCCATACTGAAGATCAAATAGTCAGAAAACATTAGCAAGTTGGAACTCTGGCGGCAAATTAACCAAGAAGCTATTGTCCAACAAATATACAGAAGGAAATGGAGATGGATAGGACAGATGCTGAAGTGGCCGTTGACTGATATAACCTGTCAGACCCTAGGGTGGAACGTTGAGTTGTGCGTCTAAAGATGCATGGAGGAGATCGCGTGGGGTAAAATGAAACTCTATGGGCAATCTTGGAGCCAGCTAAAAGAGACCATAGAGGACGGAGTGAAATGCAGTTGTGCCGTCGAAGCCCTATATTCCACTCGGATCTCAAGGGAATAATAATAATGGTAACTGGTGGTGAATTTCAGTGTAACGATTTCAGCACCTATATAGACAAGCGACTATTGAAACTTTTATTTAAATACATTTTATTTATCTCTGGTTAAGTTTGTTATTCTATGTTTTAGTTAACTTTCTCTTACTTACGTCTTTGTGTTTTGTCTTTTCACAGATTACAAATTATCCCGACCCAACTCCAGGATTTCTAGTTCGTCCACAGTCTAGACAAGGTTCACAAGATAGTTTGGCTAGCATTACAGACTATTCACAAAAATCATTTACTCTGCCTGGTATGTATTTATGAATGTCAATACTTCTGTGTGTATGTGGTTGAGTTATTAAAAAGATCTAAAACTTACACGAAATCGAACACAGAAGTTGTTCAAATATTAAGACTCTGGAGATATAACTGATTCCAATGTAGATTTAGTCATAAACCGACATGACTTAGAAGACTACTGAAAACCAGCGAGCACTGTGGAGGCAGGAACAACTATCCAAGTTTAGGATGAAAATCTATCCTGAAATCAATCAGATCTCTACAAACTCTACACACTTTAAAATTTGAAATTTCTAACACCCATCATTTGTGAATATCGGTACTTGTTCACACCACGACTAAATTCACAAATTTTACCTTCTCTGGGAAATTTTCAAATATTTTCTGTCATTATCAGTTTCTAACATTCATCAAATTGCTATCCATTTCAGTGGTAATTCAATGAAACGGTTAAAGTATCGCATCATGACTTCAAGCTCATGAATTCTGTTTGAATCTGGTTGAATATAAAAAATTCTAAGAAATCTCAGATAAATGTCTGTAGGATATTAGAACACAATTTAGAAAATGTCTCTGACTAATATACAATTTCCATAGCTTTGAGTGAAAAACCCTGAAGGCATGTTACTTTTGAAGATGGATATATGCGTAAAACAATGTGAAGGCACTGAGTATGTTTAGCATAAAATGGGTCCCATGACGCAAAAAGCCGACATGAATAAAGATAAAAACTGTTCATTGAATTAGTGCATGGAGAGGACCTTTTATAGACGATTAGTTTTTGCCATGAATAATTTAGTCATGAGAACAAGCTACTTGTCTAAAAGCTTGAAAATACAGAATAGCCAATTAGGGCTGGTAATTATATTTCACCTAAAACCAACTAAATATCTATGAAAGCCGACAAAGGAACTGATCAATCTCTGTTCATCAGATAAATTCTTCTTATTAAGATGTTGTGGTCAATAGGGTCAACCATTTTGGACATTGAAAGTGAATTCCAGCATGTTCTTCAATGAAACTGATAATGTTGGAAAAAGCTCTAGGGACTGTATACATACGATTCACAATATGAAATTCACTCATCCAAATACATCATTCTAATATTATCCAGTACCACATAATTTCTTGAATACTGATTAATTTTTCATTGAATTGTTTCCAATCGAACAAAACTGCCGGAAATCTTTAGTCACAACCTTAAACGCGTAAACATGGTATTCAAGTTGTGTATGACTTAAATAACTTTTGAGCTTCACACATCATAAAAGGATTTTTTAAGCAAGGTTAAAAAGCTGAGGAACAACTTGAAATACTTGGATGATAAACACCTTCCTACTACAGAGTAACTCTTCAGAATTACATAGTTAGAGAACATATTGTAAAATGAAGTGAAATTACAGAATTATGAAAAAACCTAATGCTCATTAGCGATTGAATACTGAATAAAGTCACCTGGAGTTGTAGTGGGAAGTGTTGACCATTCGGGTCCACCAAGTTAAAAGTGAGGACGAATACTGGTGGTGTCCCTATTTATCACGAATTAACAGAATTTAGTACTCACTGACCACTGGACCCCATCTCACTGGATGAATAGTCAGAAAGGTTGCCATCGTAAGCTGAAGGTTTGATCTCCAGGTGGGATACAGAGTGCGTACTGATGTAGAGTCACGAATTAGAATGAAACTGCTATCCAATACTCTTTGATTCAAAGTTGTTCCTAATTGATGTCCGTCAGTTCTTGACCCAACTTTAAGTCAACCAAAAACCTGCAAACCATGACTTGAAAATTATTCTCGACTTATGTATTTTTAGGAAGTCAAATCTGTGTTACATTATCTCTCTAATTCCACTTGACAAGCTCAAAAATCATCAATGAACGAAATTAGATCACTGGATAATTCTAACTTGAAATCTTAAGGTACGCACCCACCCACTACTGAAGAGTCCCAATCTAGGACGAAACAGCTGTCCCATATCCCCAGGTTTTCCAGGGGTTCTCTAACCGATGTCAGCTCATGATGAAGTCCTGTAACCAATTCGTTCCTCATTGGTAATCACTGATATGCATAATTTGTGTAATCAACTTGGCTGTATATTCTGTATATTAAATATTCCCATAGTAAAATTTAGAACAACACATTTAAGCGAACAATATTGTTTTCAATTAGATCTCATCAGGCTTAACTCTAATATATATAAGTTTACAAATAAAAATTCAAATATAAACCAATCATGGTGTTTTGTCTATAGGATAATACGATGGTGAATATAAATTGTGCAATTAGTCATAATGGTAGTAATGATAATAGTAATAATAATAGTAATAGTAATAATAAGAATGGTCTTATCATCCCCTAATCTTATCTTCATTATAAACGTGTTTCATTTCCTTCCCTTACAATCTAACATTACTTAATCGGTTCATTTGTTTTTACTAGCCTTTATCGACTACTTCCACCTGAACAGTTGTTTGTTTAATCATGCTGTTTTTCATTATTCATGTTATCACAGATTGCCTCACTTTTTCATCCTTATTATTGATAAGACCATTTTTATTATTACTATTACTATTATTATTACTATTATCATTACTACCATTATGACTAATTGCACAATTTATATTCACCATCGTATTATCCTATAGACAAAACACCATGATTGGTTTATATTTGAATTTTTATTTGTAAACTTATATATATTAGAGTTAAGCCTGATGAGATCTAATTGAAAACAATATTGTTCGCTTAAATGTGTATATTCTGTGTCATAAACTTCATTTCAACCTTTCTTATTATTATTTTTCATTTTGTTTTATTTTCCAGGTAAACCACCTATTAGAAGTATTATTTCACCAGCAAGACGAATGTTTTTCGAAGATAATCGAGAGAATAAATCTAGTGAGATTGATTTGCATCGCCTAATGGCCCAACAACAACAACATACGCTTAATCCTTATGATATACAAAATGAATCAACAAAAACCAGCTTACTGAATCTAAATTATTCGGAAGAAAAAACTGAACCACTTTCAAAACATACTACTGATATGAGCCAAAAAGTTAATGAAAAGTTGAAACCTACACTTCAACATGATACAGATAAGGGTAAAAAATCAAATAATAATCTGGCATCACCTATTATCAATAATAATAATAATAACAATAATAATAATAAACATAGTAATAGTCAAACAAAATTAAATGAAGATTTAGACAAACCGGCCAGCACTCATTCACGTTCATCGTTTGCCAACAGATTTACACGTTGGTCGAGTTCTGGTAGTAGTAATAACAACAGTAATAATAAGCATAATCTTGTTAAAGCACATTCAGTTGAGCCAAATTCAATTCATGACAGAAACACTGAAAATGTTGGCGGTAATGATGGTGGAAGCAATCGTAGTGATTATGGTGGAGTTGGCAGTATCGGTGGCAATAGTAATACCGGTGATAAGTCTATAAGTAAATCTAAAGAAAATCTATTCAGTAAATCATTGAAGAGAGATAAATCGTCTATTCGATTCGGAACACAAGATAAAGTGAAAGAGAAATCACCGAAAATTGATAATTATTCAAGCAATACTCGTCAGATGACAACTGAAACAACATCGAGTCATGAAAATGCTCCACAACAACAGCAGCAGCAACAAACACAGTCTGTAGTGAAAAGATCTAAATCTGTATCAAATATCTCTCCGGCTATAATGGCTTTAAGACAAAAATTTTCAGGTGGAGGGAAATCATAGTCGACTTTTAAATTTTCTTCGTCTTTCTTTGTTTTCACCTACCTTCCTCCTCACACTCCTCTTCTCTCCTTGCCTCCTTTTCTTCACCCGACTTTCTTCCCACGCTTATGTCACCCACTTAATCTTTTTCATTCAGTCACTAAGATCATAAGTGAATCTATGTTAAAATGTTCGTCTCATTTTCAGCTATTTGTAAACATTTTATCTTAAAGAAATTTGTTTTAATGATTGATAATCATGTCATTGTTAATGTTAATAAAAGAAAGTATTTACTTTTGATTAATTATATTTGTTATCTTTGTCAGCTGACAGATACTGACAAATGATGTTACATACTACTGATTGATTGATATTAGTAGTTTTAGTCATCACTCACACAAACTATTAGCGTGTGCCAGATGGCCAGACCAAAGTATTCTAAACACCAGGTGATCATTTCGATCGTTTTTGACCAAGCCCAACATCAGTGTACCCAGGTATTGATGCTTGCCTTCTTGATTGCCATTTTGATATCAGCAGAGATCGCATATTGCGATCTGAACAGTTTCGACTTCCAGAGGAACCTATGGTAAAATTTAAATTCAAACAGAATAGTTCGCAAATTGTTAATATCATTCGCTAGGTGACAATAAACATGTTGGATGTTTTAAAAACTGGTCTTTAGTAAAAGCCTATCAGCACAATTGTGAAATTTGCATTTTCTCATTATAAAATGGCATCTGCATTGCCCACACACATTTAGAAACTCATAAATGGTCTCCACCGATAGCCCCAAGCACAGTCTAACTAATAACCAATATGTATCATCGTAAGAATGTCTTCATTTGGTCACACTGCGTCAGAATTCGACAGTTCATATTTTCTTGATTGTCCTTACTCTTTATATAGCACAGTCGTTATTCATTGTCACTTATCAGTAATTTATTTTACATTTGATCTGGTAAACCCTGTGAGTTATGATTTCGGACTACAACTTCTTCAATTCTATCAGAAGGTTAAAATATGATGGTTACTGAATCGTTATTTGAATAGAAAGTATATGAAGAACTGACTACTTTCAGAATCTGTAGCAATCCACCATGGATGAGTTTTTGGAAATAAAGTTACCAATCGTTTAAATTCTGAAGTTTCTTCCAGGTAGTCAACAACAGTTTTATTCTGTTTGGAAAAGTATTTATTTTTTACGAGTTGATCACGGATTGACATCAGTTAGAGAACCATTGAAAACCAGGGAGTACTGGACAGCTGCTTCATCCTAGTTTGGGAATCATCGGCAGTACGCACCCACCTTCCGGTTACAAGGCAAGCTCGTATACCATTCAGCCACTGGGAGCCGAATCTTCAGTGGCCCAATAGATTCTAACCTCTGCCAGTTCGTGATTTAGCGCGGAGGTCCATCCAGTCACGTGCGAGGATGGATGTCCCACTGATGACATTGGCGGCGCTAAATCACGAACTGGCAGAAGTTAGAATCTATTGGGCCACTGAAGACTCGGCTCCCAGTGGCTGAATGGTATACGAGCTTGCCTTGTAACCGGAAGGTCCTGGGTTCGAACCCCAGTGGGTGCGTACTGCTGATGATTCCCAAACCAGGATGAGGCAGCTATCCAGTACTCCCTGGTTCTCAGTGGTTCCGTAACTGATGTCAATCCGTGATCAACTCGGAAAAACAAAACTAATCCTTACAAACTAACTGTAGAAAAGTATTTATTCCTTTATTCTCCATTATTTAAATGTATATTTAAAGGCATCAAATGGTAAGTGTGCAATTCGCAAACTGAATTCCTGATTTCAACTGATTCATTTCTCCGATCTGAATCAAAATCAGGTACACGGCTGACGGACTCGTCTCCAGACGGTCGGAACAGCTGTCCAGTGTATTTATATCACTTCGATTTGGTTATCAAACACTACTGGTTGATGTGAGTGATATCCAACTACTCATGTCAGTTAATCAGTAGTATATCCAGTCACGCACTAAAGATTCTAGTTATTATTCGCAAACATTCACTTCTTAAGTAATACTTTCCTTTCTACCGAATTTATATGAAATCTGACTGCTTGATTTGCCAAGTGTTATACAAGTTTGGAAAGTAGTAATTTATGAAGCATTATATTCATGAAAAAAATTCCAAACAAGCTCTAAGAATATTGAACAGGATATCTTCCTTTGAAATGTAGCAAGAATAACTTCCGCATTTTCATAATAGTCTCCGTACTCATCCAATTAATTATCGTCAAGAGCTAGATTTAGGTAAGTATTAGATTAGGGTCACGTTAGGGTTTTAATCTTACGTTGAATTGCGTTTAAAGTTTATGAAGTTACTTGCAGTGATAGGAAAGACAAACGATTCATGAACGTGTAGATATATTATAAATCATAGTTTATGAATTTGCATAGGTGCTGGCCGATTAATTGTATATCTGCTGTGATAAAACATGTCTAAGTTTTTATTGGTGGTTCAGTGGTAGAATACTCGCCAACTAGGCCTCACGTGGTGTGGATTTGGATTCTTGGTGGACGCCCTCCTAAACATTGCTAAGCCCGTAGTATGCTTACTAAAGAGGGAGGTTGGATGCGGGGCTAGCAACCCCATCCCGTGGAAAAACACAAACACCACTGCTACCGAGACTTCAAAGCCGAAGCTTGAAGCCTTGTTTTTCACTTGGAACGGAATTACAGGGTGACATATGTCTTACTTTTAGGTATTCCGTACAGCAAACGTGTCTGTTGTACACTTCTGACTAACAGACCAGAGGATCGACACTTTTATGACTCAGGTATGTTTTATGTATAGCGACAACCCACCACTTAAGTACAAGTGAATTTAAAGGTATCATAATAAATAGGTGTTAACCTGACCTGAAACAGTTGTTCTGACAGAGATTTCTGGCCTACTTGTTGCTAAATAGACATTTCTGTCCTTATGACTGATTTGGCATTATAACTTGATAATGTAATGCTGAGAATAGTTGTAACCACTGTAGCAACACAACAAATCATAGATTTGTAACGAATACAAATGCAGAGAACATCAGTATTTCAGTCACACGCTCAAAAAATTAAAAACAGTTACAGACTGTATAGTTAGACCCTACTAAAAATGTTCCTCATAGTTAAGTGTAAACATATGTACTTCACATTCAGTGACACCGAAATATACTTATGACTAAAATAAATAGACTAAACTGAATTAACTAGATATCAACTGAATAAATTTGTCACCCCCTTTTGAATGCCTCAGGTATTTTAACGGGTGAGCCTCGGACCAGACTGATTTATCATTGCGAGCTGGTAATACTCGCATCTTGAGAACTCTTAATTCAGTCACACTAGCCAGATAAGTTTTAGAATCTTTCCCCCAAGTAATCTTAACATTGATACTACGTAAATATATTTCTCTTGAGATCATATATCTAAGCAACTAAGGTTTTTTGATTTGTATTTCGTTATTAGTACTTATACGTTAGATAGGTATTTTAGTACATTAAGTTTTTTTAAACTGGTGTAGTGTACCATATCAACAACTCAGCTATCTCCTTAGAATGTGTTAATTCAAGTGTCTTATTTATTACCATACCTCGAACTTAGTGTATTCATATTTTCACTTATTTATTAGTTGTATTGTTTGTTTTTATTTTGCATAGTAGGTTATTACAGTTTGTGTTTACGTTTGAGCAATTTTATTATTGTGACAGGTTATTATATTGTCACTAATACTTGTTATGCAACGATTGTTGGAAACGAATCGCTGTGGAGTTTGGAACAATATGATTGTACAGTTTTTTTTGTTTGATGTTAAAAATGGAAACATTGTGCATAACTTTTGTTTAAAAGAATTGATTGTAAAATATACATAATTTCGGAGTGCAACCTAAAATACAGTATGCTGCTCGATACTTCGTCTTCTCAATGGTCCATACTGCCTACTTACTTCACTACTAACCGTGTTGTACCCTTTGGATTTTGTAGAAACCTCTCATCCGAAGACTATTCTACAACCGGTGCACAACTTCTACTGGTCGACACGACTCCATCAGTGAACACTTCTGTGGATTACATTAATAATTTGCAGCAGCAGACTTTAACTGCATCACCAAGTGATCATTAATTTACATAACTAGGTATCTGTATGTTTTATAATACACTATTACATTATTAACTCAATAACTTGGTTTTTATTCTAATATTTGTCCTGTTACCAAGCTCGCTATTAAGTCCCCTACATCTCTTTGGAAGATGGTAGTTACACTGAAGCTTTCCACCTTCTAAGCATATCCACAGTGGTTCACTAATGTGAAAGCTCAGTTAACCTTGTAAAGTATTCGATCAAGAGAAACCAAATCTTAGTTTTTGTGATCCACCCTGAGGACATTTTTCTGGATCATTTCAAAGTCCTCGATGATCTATCCCAGAAACTATACGATCGTCTTAAAATGCTATAATCAAGAGATCTACACTTACAGATCAACAGAAAGTGCAAGAGCTCTTCAGGGGCGGACATCTCAGCAACTGTAATCTCACCTATATGAAGTAACTAATCTCTGATTTCAAAAGTGATGAAACCTTTCTTAAACGAATGTGTCTGCAAAGATTGCCTAAGACGGAGAAAGGAATCCTAGGACCCTTTCACAGATTACCTTTAATTCAGTTGGACAAGAAATCCTAATAGAATACAACAGTCATACAGATTCATCCTCGAGTGATGGGAGTTTACATTAAGACAGTCAATAATTGCATGACAACCACAACAGACAGAGGTGGGTCATAGTGATTGGTGGGCTGTCAGAATGTCTGTCTGCTACAGTTAACAGCAGTATCTCACATCACTAGACTTTATGAGAAGCCGTGTAGCACTAGGAAGCCAGGAAAGGTAAAGGCTTGCTTCATGATCGAGCACTTCTTTTTCTTAACAGATAGTGACGTTCTAGAAAGAGTTGTTCGATGCCAAGCTACCCCTACACCGCTTCAAGCTGCTACTGTAGACAATATGGTGCCACTGCTGAAAGATGCACTCGTCTTCGCACTTTAGTTCAATACTATAATTAAAGATAGCGGTGGTATCGAATAAACATCTACCAAGTTTGTAGCCAATTGTTTTGGGCCATTAAAAGCCTTCAGTGAATTTTAAAGATGAAGTAAGAGCAATTTTATCATTATTTCCAAGAAGGGTGAGGTTATATCAATAGATCTTAACATTATATAATCCAGCCGGTGGTTTAAATTCTAGGACAAATTTCCAAGAAGCAGGCACAATATTTGTGGAATATGATATATTGAAAATATCAGTAAAGGGATGAAATAAAATATCGGCATGTTTTTTGATGATAATAGCCGATATACCAACTGGTCTCCGGCACTATGAAGGAGTCATTTAGTGAAGACATTTAAGAACTTCATTTATATTAAACCAGGAAACTGATCATTCTTTTCATGTATAATATAAGAAATCTTAACATCTGCT